GTTAATGTAGTCATACGGAGTTGCAAATGAAGCCCAGGATTTGAATTTCCCGGGCTTCATTGGCATGATGCCGGCCGGCACCATTTTTAAATGCCGGCTAGTTCGGACTCCGTGCCCATGGCTACACGCCGCACGAACTAGGTAGTTCAGACTAGGCTTCCTAATCCGAACTAGTGGGCCACCTCGTGGAATGAGGTGTACAGCTATTTACATCAACTGAAGAGTTAGCCATGAGCATTACAATTCTTTTAAAAATGCATAAATACTTTTTCTATTCCCAGGCTGATGTCAGAGTCCTTTTTGCATGTAAGAAATTGACTACAAAGGGAAAACTGTAAAATTAACTACCAAACTCAAAAAATGCTGCTGAATGTACAAAGAAGTTAGAAAAAATGCTTTTCTAACTCCTTTCAGTTTTAGTAATTACAAGTGGCTACTTGTAAACTATAGTAGATATACATATTTTAAACAAGGATTGGGGTGTGTCTAGGCTGCGGGTGGTATTTCCAGCTGGAGGAGATGCAGTTGCCCTAGCTCTCAGCAAGCTAAAAATAAATAACAAGGTTGTGGCAATGTGAGTGGTGGGAGAGATATTTCCTCTGAACAGATACCTAGCATCTCTGGGCATGCGCTTGGGGCAGCTAGCCCCTCCTGCCACTTGCACTGCTGTGGGGATAACAGTAGTCTGGGAACGTCTCTCTGAGCTGGGAATCACACCCCCAGCTCCAGGTGCAAGCATACATTAGTGTTTGGTGAGGCCTGGCTTGGGGTGTGAAATGTGCTGCAGAAAACAGAGTGCAGTAGGGCCATGGAATGGAGAACCCCCATGTTAGTACAATGCAACTGGGTGGGGCGTTTTGAACTACAGGCAGTCCCCGACTTACGCGGATCCGACTTATGTCGGATCCGCACTTACGAACGGGGCTTTTCTCGCCCCAGAGCTCGCGGGCGGCGGGCCCGCCCAGAGCGCAGTGGTCTAGCCACCGCATCCTCCGGGGTGAGAAAAGCTGCTCCAGGTCTCCCTGGTGTGCTGGGGGGGACTCCCCAGAACAGCAGGGAGACAGGAGCAAAGCCGCAGAGGCGGGGGACCCCGCCACCCGTGCGGCTTTGCTCCGGGGCAAAGGGGCAAAGCCGCACGGGCAGCGGGGTCCCGCCGCCTGTGCGGCTTTGCTCGGGTCTCCCTGCTGTGAACAAACCTATAGTCCCTATTTTGTATGTAACCCGGGGACTGCCTGTAATCTTAGTCAGTAGTGGGGTTATAGTTAAAGCTATCATCAAGCTACAGCAACTGTTGATCCTTGCAGGTGACTATGGGAACTGGTTTTGTGTGTGTGTGTGTGTGTGTGTGTGTGTGTGTGTGATCTAATCATCTTGTGGTTAAGGCACTTGACTGGGACTCGGTCGGTATCAAGTCTGCCACAGGCTTCCTCTGTGGCCATGGGGAAGTCACTTAATCTTGCTCTATCAATGAGCGTAATAAAGCTCCCTTTGTCTGTTTAGTCTATAATTTCTTTGGCGTATGGGCTGTCCAGTGGGCCTTGACCTTGGATAGGGCATGCAGACACTAGGATAATAATTCAATAAGTGCCACAATGTGGTTAAAATATTCTTAGTTCCCGTAATTTGTCCATTGGACCCTGACATCAGCCATGCCAGAGTGACGCTGCTGAAAAGGGCTGAATAAGTGAGAACATTCCTGAACTATCAGGGGACATGGTATTGTAACTAGATCCCTCAGGACAGTAGTTATCCCATTTGTAAAGGAGATGTTGAGCATCAACTGTTACTAATTCTTCCCTCTTAGAGGGATTAATCTATTACATGAGCACAGGCTGTGTGCCTGCAAGTGTAGCCCATGACCCTTTAACTCTCCTAGATTGTATAAAGTGGCAGAACTTAAACTCACTGCTCAAGTGTTTGGGCTGGTTGATCTCCCAGGATGACAGGGACCTGGGGAGCAATATTGCAACGTTAGACCTTCTTGGTGAAGGCAAAACGAGATGTGGTTTTGGAGAAGAGATCACATCCCAGACAGAGTTCACTGACTGTAGTTCCCTCTCTTTTCTTGCCGGTAAACCAGCTAGCTCTTGACTTGAAGTGAAGTTGTTAAAATCATCTACTCTCTTTCTGTCAAAAAGAAGAACACGTTTAAGGTCTGCATGGACCGGTGTTTATAAAGTTGAGCCATCTCTACGCAAGAAATAGAATGAATTAACTAATGAACTATGTGGGAATAGTAATCCTTACTCCATTTAATAAGTAGGAAAAAATCTTGTGTGTGTTCTGCCCCGATCTTGAAGGTAGCATGGGATCTAAAGTAGCATATTTTAAAGGTGAGTTGACTTGCAAACTAAAAGCAAACAACTTCAGAATTTTTTATTGGATGCTTCAAATAGCTCAGTGATGAGAGGCATTCTATACAGAATGGTCTTAAAATGTCCCTTTCTACAAAGTTCACTTCATGGTTCTTATAATGCCCCCAACATGCACAGTGCTGGCAATATCATGCCTACCTCTTAAAGTCTGTATTTATTTAGTAAACAAGGGTTTTTCTTACACTAGATTGTGTTTTGCACTTTTTCTGACCCCCTCTCCCCCATCACAGTGGGTGGCTGCTGTCATGCTATATAGAATAACAGACAGATACCCCCCACACTCCTAGCCTCCTGCCCTCAGCTCCCCCCACAGCACCAGCCCCTGCCCTGAAGGACCCAAGCAAAGTCTGGTAAGGCTTCGTCTGTCTGACTGGCGATGCCCCCACCCCATATATCCTTGCAAGGGCAAGGCCAACAACGTTCTAATGGAATTCTCTGAACATCTGGAAGGTTCCATGAGATTCTACAAACATCCAGAACGTTCTAGGAGGTTTGTGAAAAATGAATCCATGTAATGGAATACCTGAAACATTTTACTCCAACACTCTTATTTTCCCTTTTGTCATGTACAACAAAAACAGCATGTAAGCCCAGTGCCCCACCCCAAGCTTGTTACCCCAACTGGTTGCCTACTCCTAAATCCAGTTCTTGATTTCTGGTTGAGCTGAGCCTGATGCTACAAGTGTCCCTGAGTGTAAAGGGGCAAATGCCTATTTATACCTGTGGCAGTCAATAAATGAAACCTTGGAAAGGGGAGGTGCACCTGATTAAAACGGTATAGACTTGTTTATAACATGGGTGAAGAGTCTTGAGGCAGGACTCACCTGTGACACCATGCCTGGCTGAAAGGGGGTAGACCAGGGTGACCTCCCCACCGTCCCACTTGGAGAAAGGCATGAGCAGATGACAGGGAGTTGAGTGGGGTTTAGGGTAGAGGCAGGTGTGAATCTTGCACTCCCTGTAGCAATCCTGCGTCTTCTGTATGTAGCTCACAGTGACAGTTACAGACCAAGCCCAGCCTTTCTGTGACTACATTTCTCTCATGCACACCCATGTAAATCAGGAGTGACTCTGGGATAGAACTGGTGTAAGCTGACTGCCCCACAGACTTTACTGGGGTGCACCTGCTATGAAGCCACTAGCAGTGCTGCAGACATCAATATTGTAGGGATTAGATCATAGCCCTGTGTTACTGGATAACAGGCAGGGAGCAGTCACTGGGTTTGCCATACCTGGACTCTGAGTCCTCACAGGATGTACCATAGATGTTGAATTCTTCTTGAACTACTTCTGATATCTGGGCTTTACTGTCAGCTTTTTCTATCTCAAGTTCTGTTTCTTTATCCTAAAACCAGGAGAAGATGGTGAGCCTGCCAGTTGCTGTCCAGGACTGTGATCTGTGTGCCACCTGCCTGTCCCTTTGGCATCCTCTAGATACAAATGCCACAGCCAAAAATGGTGGCAGAGTATCTGTCGTGTCATTCTGAGCCCATGGCTGCCGGGTCCCATATGAGTCTTTGGACATCCCAAAGTTCATGCTCTGCCATGTTCTTTGAAAGGTTGTTAGTTAGGCCCAGGCATGTTTTTTTTCCCCCTCCTTTCCCCTCACCAGTTTAACACAACCCCACATGGATGCTGGCATCAGGCAGTGGAGTGGAGTTCTATGGCAGAAGGGGTTTTGAGTCACTGGTTTTGCATGTAACTTCGATTCTCCCACTCAAAATGGAGTTGTGCCCTGGACTGACCTTGAGGAATGACTCCAGGAAGCTTGTGTGCTTGGGGATCCTGCGCAGCGCCATGTTACTTGATTCTGATGCTATGCCGTTCATCTCTGACCACAGCTGAGCGGAACGATGTAAGCAGCATGTTAACAGAGCTACTTGCTTACTTATGACCTCTCCAGGGATTTGTCCTAAGGGTGTGGGTGTTTCTTTAGGTCCTAGCTTCAGTCTTTTCCTTTCTCATCCCCCTCTCCATCAGTTGGACTGCTTGGTGTGTGCTTTGTTCCTCTAACTCATGGATTCTCAATGTGGGGATCCAAACAGGGCCCCCAGGGGAGTGTGACCACCCACTCTTCCTGTACTGGTAGATGAGAGGGGTGTCCTTGCTACATGTGGGAAGAGTCCAAGGGTGGAGGAGGTCTGATATAAAACAAGCTGAAGCAGTGATTCTTTGCCAGTGTCACACCCCTTTGGTGGACACACAAATGCACAATCCATGCTCTCTTACTAAGACAGGGAGCCGGAACATTTTTATAGTGGGGTTCAGGGAGTCACTGAACCAAACTGTATATAATGGAAATGCCTTCAAATGAAGGGGTGCTGGTTTCTATAAGTGACTTTTATTTGCCCCCAGAACAGTCTCTGTGCTGTCTCCTGGTTACCACTGCAACCACAGAGCTTTCTAGGGGGGCCATCAATAATCCATAGACAATCATAAAAAGCAAAACCAGAATGTAGTGCAGCGTATCACTGAGGGCTGATATTTGGGCCAGTCAGGTCTGCACTTTGATCTGGAGGATAGAGGGTGTGTTTATTCACTTGGCATGGAAGCGGGAGTAGAGTCTGAACAGGACGTGTGACCCCACTATACCAGCGTCAGACTGCTCTCCGTCCTCTATCACCATACTAGTGGATATTTCCTTTCAGGTTTTTTTATTAACCATGATTAAGTTGTCACCCAAAGCAGCTGTCTCTGCTAGTGGAACCATGAAGATCTCCCCCATTTGTCCAACTCTGGTTCTGTTTATTTTACTGGGCAGTACTTCAAATTCCAAAAGATTCCCCCACTTCTCTGTCTGCAGGAAGGTGACCACAACCAAACAGGGCCATCTGCTGTTCCATCACCTTGCTTGTTTTGCCTGAAATCGCAAGGGCTGATTTAAAAACAGAAGGAAAGTTGGCCATGGTAGGGAGAAATATCATGTGAATTCCATAGGCAGCAAATGCTTATTAGATATCTCCCCCTAGTGGCCAAATGCTGCAATTAATCTAGGGGTTGCTTCTGTACCTATTGAACTCAATGGCCAAATTCTCATTAATTTCAATTTCACAGGATCAGCGCTCTCCTTTGCCATAAAGGTTATAGACTTGCTGTCAGCCAGGGAGGGATCTCTGATGCCTGGGCACTGTTGGGTTTATTTTTCTAATTTTGGGAGGATGAAGGGATAGTGTTCCCTGTGCACTTGGGTGGCTACCCACAAGAGAATTTGGTGTCACCCAGCTAATTAGCAGTGTGACCACAGCCAGCTACAGTCAACCACAGTTAGAAACATGTGTTTCTACTAGTGGTGCACATCTGCACATGCCTCTGTGCACATCACAAAATTGATTCCACACACAGATGGAAAAAACTAGAGGGAACAGTGTGTGGGGGGGAAAGGGGAGAGGCTTGTCACTGGCATTATCTAAATTGCTAGATCCCCTCATCTGAAATTCTGTGTTCAATTCTGGCTGTGCAGCCTCAAAGGATACAACAAAATTAATTACAGGTCAGACAGATGATGAGAAACATTTCAAAACTTCCAAGGAAGGAAAGTTTGTTGCCTTAGATAGGAGTCAAAAGGAACATGCGACACTGTATAAAATAATGAATGGTACTGAAAAGATAAATCAGAAAGGTTTATTCACCCTTCTTGTGACACAGGAGCAAAGATACAGGCAAAGAAAGGGAAAGGGGGCAAAACTGAAACTGCTCAGAGAAAATATTTTTTTACACACATACACACACACACAGCCAAGTTAAGCTGTGGAACTTGCTGTCACAAGATACTATGGAAGGCTCAAAGAAAGGAGCAGAGATCTAGATAGTTGGCAATGATACCCTGAGTTACAACACTAAGGACATTTGAGGGAGTCAACAAACATGTGGACAAGAGGGATTCAGTGGATATAATGTACTTAGATTTCCAGAAAGCCTTTGACAAGGTCCCTCACTGAAGGCTCTTAAGTAAAGTAAGTTGTCATTGGATAAGAGGGAAGGTACTTTCATGGACTGATAACTGGTTAAAAGACAGGAAACAAAGGGTAGGAATAAATGGTCAGTTTTCAGAATGGAGAGAGGTAACTAGTGGGGTCCCCCAAGGGTCTGTCCCTGGACCAATCCTATTCAACTTATTTATAAATGATCTGGAGAAAGGGGTAGACAGTGATGAGGCAAAATTTGTAGATGATGCCAAACTGCTCAAGATAGTCAAGACCAAAGCAGACTGTGAAGAGCTTCAAAAAGATCGCAGAAAACTATGTGGTTGGGCAACAAAATGGAAAATGAATTTAATGTTGATAAATATAAAGTAATGCACATTTGAAAAAATAATCCCAACTACATATACAAAATGATGGGGACTAATTTAACTATAACCAATCAACAGGGAGATTATGGAGTCATTGTGGCTAGTTGTTTGAAAACATCTACTCAATGTGCAGTGGCAGTCAAAAAAGTAAACAATGTTAGGAATCATTAAAAAAGGGATAGAGAATAAAACAGAATATCTTATTGCCTCTATATAAAGCCATGGTACGCCCATATCCTGAATACTGCATAAAGATGTGGTCACCTCATCTCATATATAAAAAGATATATTGGCATTGGAAAAGGTTCAGAAAAGGGCAACAAAAATTATTGGGGTTAGGAACAGGTCCCATATGAAGACAGATTTAAAAAGAGTGGAACTTTTCATCTTAGAAAAGAGGAGACTAAGGGGGATATGATAGAGGTCTATAAAATCACAACAGGTATGAAGAAAGTGAATAAGGAAAAGTTATTTACTTATTCCCACAATATAAGAACTAGGGGTCACCAAATGAAATTAATAGGTAGCCAGTTTAAAACAAATAAAAAGAAATTTTTCTTCAAGCATTGCACAATCAACCTGTGGAACTCCTTGCCAGAGGATGTTATGATCATGAAGGTCAGAAATTCAATAGGATTCAAAAAAGAATAGATAAATTCATGGAGGTTAGGTCCATCAATGGCTATTAGCCAGGATGGGTAGGAATGGTGTCCCTAGCCTCTGTTTGTCAGAGGCTGGAAATGGATGACAGGAGAGGGAGGGATCACATGATGATTCCCTGTTCTGTTCATTCCCTTTGGGGCATCTGGCATTGGCCACTGTTGGAAGACAGGACACTGGGCTAGATGGATCTTTGATCTGACCCAGTCTGGACGTTCTTATTTTCTCATGACATTAAATAAACAAGAAGTTGAGCAGTGGATTATCCCATAACTGCCTACTACCATCTTTTTTAATCTTCTTCTGAAGCAGATGGTACAAGACCCAAGGGTATGTCTACACTTCTGTCTCCTGCACGGAGACTGATGTGTGTTAATGGTGCCTGTACTAGCATGCTGAAATTAGTGTGACTCGACCTTGTGGCAGAGGCTCATGCTAGCTACCTAAGCTCAGACTAAGAGTAGGGTGGGCCTGAGCTCACATGGCTAGCTGCTGCCAGAGTGTCCACTCAGCTATTTTTAGTGTGCTTGCATGAGCCCCATCCACCTAGCTCTGTCTTTCTGGGCAGCGAGCTCCCTCCCAGCATTGTAGCCGTACCCAGTGTGATGGAATCCCAGAGGCGCAGTGTGGGACCATGGGACCACCGTGTCCCCTAATTCTCCAGCCTGGGCTGACTCTCACAGTACTTTGCTAGGGACAAGGAGCAAACCCCTCCAGGCCTTGTTATCACAACAGCAAACGATGCCCTATATCCAGCTGGATTACATGAATGCTCCCAGAGCCACTTCTGAATCACACAGAGAAAGGCACCAGCCAAATCCCCCCAGCTTTCAGTCTTGTACCTCAGGAATATACCGCCTTGCACTGCTCAAGATGAGGAGCAAAGGGTAGACTGTTATTAATTGGTTCACCACCTCATCAGTGGAAAGTGGAGATACACTAGCCTTTGTAAACCTGAGCAATTACCAAACACTTCAGGCAAACTCACCGGTAAAGAAGAACAGTTGATCAAGTGTATTGACTACAAAAGACAGATTTTACGAGACTATAAGTGACAAGCAAAGAGTCACTGTAGTTACTGTCGCAGGAATCACAGGTCCGATGACCCAAGGGGGGAAGGACAGAACCAGGTGGACAGTTTTAGCAAATAAAGGATATTTATTTATGACAGTGATGAATTTATAGTATTTATTCTAAGATTTTTAATAGACTGTGTTAATAATGAATTTACAGTATTTATTATATTTATTCTGCGATTTCTAGTTAAATGTGTCAGAGATATAAGGATGGGAATGGCAAGGGGAATAGTCTCTATTCTAACAATATCCAGTTACACTAATTAAATAAGAGTGATAACTACAAACTCTATGTACTACCCAAAACAACTATATCACTAAGCTTATACAACAAAGAAAATCAAATCATACATACCAACTTACACAGCACACGGAACATTTCAAAGATATTGGTTCGGTTGCGAAGGCCTTGGTTACGCCCGAGAGTCGGGGGAGGTGGCTGGTCGGTTGATCAGGCCGGCAGCACTTTGAAGTATACGGGAAGGCACACGCACGGTGATACGTGTGTTGCGAAGACCTCCTAGAGCGAACTGTGCGATGGGTATTTATCCCCAAATCTGCACATCGCTTTCCCGTGCTTGCATATTTCCATATATAGCCCAATGGTCACCAAGTGGGGGGTCTGTGTCCCAGGGGTTGTCCCCCTGTGCAGGTTTCATGAGACCAGGTAAGTCCCGCAGTTCTCATGCCAAAGTGATGGGTGGGAGAGTCTGAGGCTATTTCCCCTTTTCACACCTTCCCTTTTTCTAAAGGCAATGGTATGCAGGAAGGGTGCGGCCGGTTTCTCCCAGGGAGTACTGCAGCCCACTATAGC